CTCTCTTCAAAATATTTCGGATTTCAAAGCAAGCAATTGCAAAGCTTGTATAGCTCGAAGGTAACAAAAATTAAAATCAACCCCGTGTGTGAAAAGTAAATATGTTCAGGATGGATAAAATCAGAGCAGAAATATTTCTAGTTAGGGAAAATGCCCAAATGTTTGTCTGAATTTGGCAGACCTTAAATCGGAAGCTGTGCCTGTAATAGCAAAATTGATCATGAGCTTTAACATCAAGCACTCTCCGAGTGCAAGACTTGAGACATCAGAAGTACCAAGTAGGTACAATTAAATGATTTCCTTACTTCGAGCTTGTATGAGGTCCCAGGTCGTAGATTCTGTATTGTGTAGCTGAATTGTTCCTAGTAAGTAGGAAAAATTAAAATAAAGATAAAAAAGGCGATTTGCAGAATTAGACATGTATATTATTTTTCATGTAGCAGAATAATTTATTGAGAGCAATTAGTAGAGGCTATATGGAAGGTCTATTAATTATTTTATTTTGACCTCAAACTGGCAATGGAAAAAAATATATAAAAATAATAATTGCCTTTAAAAAATGAATAAAATCGTATGCTTTCGGCCTTTAACTAGCAGTATCCAACCTCCTTCCACGTCCCCATTTTTATATGCCAATGCTAGTGCTGCATTTTGGTTCTCGTTGCTCGTCGCACCAGCCATTTGAATAGAGAAATCGAAATCTGTTACGTAACAGGCCGTGACAAGTGCCAGTTTTCTCCTGCCGGGTTCAGAGTGCAAAGTTTGTTGGAAACCGGGATACATTTTGGAAGGCCAAGATTCATTATTGATTATCCAATGAGGTAGACTAGTAGTTGTGCCTCAAATTATGAAGTGAAGAAGAAGCTTAATTTTAGCAAGCAATTTCTATCACCTAATTGCTCAGAGAAAGACAGTGTAACTTAGTTTTTAAATTTTCTTTCTTAGAAGCTTTCTCATCAAAGGAATGTGAAGTAATAGTGAAGTGATAAACTTACCTAGGAATTAATGGTATCAGCATGTTGTATTGTGGTTTAGACACTTGATTACTTATCTGACAGAGATATTTTGAAAAAAAAAATTACTTAAATTTGTCATATAATTCTACTGTCCAGTGTTTCCAAATTATCAGTTCACCCGAGTTTTACCATCCCAGTGACTCCAAAGCGAGTCGATCCTAGTGCGCAATGGACTAGTGTGGA